ACATACACACACACACACACACATATATATACACACACTGTTGTCATGGTTTATATATTCGTTTTATTTATTTTTAAGGAACAGACCATGAAGACCACACAGAGGCCAATGACAGTATTTGTGCTGCCCCTAACCAGGTTAGAAATCATATCAATCCTCTACTTCTACAGTGTTTGTTCTGGGCTGGACCACATGATATTTTGAAAAAAAATATTATTTTTATTATTATAAGTCTGAAATAAAAAAATTAAAAAACGCCTGGTCGATCTGTGCATCTCTTCTCCACTGTGTAAGTTAAATATAGATTAATCATTGTTAAAGCTACAAAGTTACTCACCAAGACGGGTATTTTGACATACTTTTGTATGTATTTGTCCGTTCAAACGCAAGAAAGACGTGGAAAGAAACTCGGGGCTCGGGCGTCAGAGACGCAGCTGTCTGTGCGCGCGCTGTACAAACAGAACAGCTTGTGAGTACTGAATGGAGTTGTCTTTCGTGCCTTGCTGGAATGCTTTTAAGTTGCTTGAATTTTTTAATTAGCAAGGCTTAAAAACAGATACAAATGATAAACTTTCTTTAACGACACGGCAGTGGCCCGATTGGGCCAGTGACAAATCCGTCAACTGTCCCGAGCGTCTTTCACGCTGGCCCCGTCCATGACCACAAAATTAGTATTTTATTTTTAGTAATGCAAGGTAAGGCTAAATGTTATTTAATTAGATATTTTATGCATTCTCCTGATTGTTTACTTTGGATAAAAAAAAAATCTTTTGGGGCCTGAACTTAACCTTCTGTGTCCAACACGTATATTTCCACCAGGATGTTGCTCCCTCCTTAGTTGACCAACACAAAGGAGGTACAGCAGTGGCTGGGGGATTTGGGGTGACTGCGAGTGAGAGTGATGAGCTCAGAGAAAAAGAAATGCCTGGGGAGCCGTCCCCCTCTGCACCTGCCCAGCCTAGCGCAATAGCCTCTTTGTCGGTGCGGGTTGTTGGTGAAAGAGGACCAACATCAAGCCATGTACCGGCTGACAGTGATGATGACAGTGAAGGCGGGGATGACAATGATGACGAGGAGGAGGAGTGGAACCCCATTGCTAAACGGAGTCGTCGAGCACAGCCTCCAAAAAGCCAGCCGGTGAGGGAAAGATCTGGTGGCTCGCAGCAGCAGCCGCCCCCCCAACACATACCTTTACTATCACAGCAGCTCAGACAGCCCACTCCTCCCCCATCTCCTCCTCCTGAACTCTCTTTTCCACTCCCAGACACCCCTAAACAGAGCCCCCCTAGTCCCGGAGAGCCCCCACCTAGGCAGCGTATATCTAGCTCTTCGAGCTCTGGTAGTTCCAGTAGTGACAGTTGTAGCAGTAGCCCTGAACCAGCAGGCGACTCCACAGAACGCAGACCAGGCCCACTGACCTTACTGGCACGCAAGATGGCGTCTGAGGGAGCTTTCTCTGGTGCAGGAAAGCGTGATAGGGAGGGAATGGATGGACAGAGAAGCCACCATGAGGGAGTTGTGTCTGCAATTACTCACACAGCTAATGCAGCGTCAGTTTTGTCATACCCTAGTTTAGTGATCTCCAACCAAAGTGTTAGTGTCGTTAGAACAGCGGTGGTGGAAGAGAGTGATGGTATGAAGCAGGATGAGGGTAGCCATCTTTTATGGGAGCAAGAAAACAAAAAGAGGGAAAGACAGCGAGAACAAGAGAGGCTGAAAGCCCTAGAAAAGGAGAGAGAGGAAAAGAAGGCATTGGAAGAAGAGCGAACACGAGTTTTGGAACGGGAAAGACAGGAACGAGAAGAAGCTCTGAAACGGGAGAGGGAGAGAGCTTTACAGCAAGAAAGGGAAGAGAAAGAAAAGGCCTTACAGCGGGAGAGGGAAGAGAGGGAGAAGCTTGAAAGAGAACAAGCATTGGAAAGAGAACGACTCGAGAGAGAACAAGCGCTGGAACGAGAGAGGCAAGAAAAGGAGAGACTGGAAAGAGAGAGACAGGAAGCTTTAGAGCGGGAGAGATTGGAGAGAGAGAGGCTTGAGAAAGAAAGACAAGAACGACAAAAAGCCTTAGAGAGGGAAAGACTCAAGAAAGAAAAACACGAACGAGAACGAGAACTAGCTCTAGAGAGGGAGAGATTAGAGCGAGAGAGGCTTGAAAAGGAAAGACTAGAAAGAGAACAAGCTCTAGAGAGGGAGAGATTGGAGAGAGAGCGGCTCGAGAAGGAAAGACAAGAAAGAGAACAAGCTCTAAAGAGGGAAAGGTTGGAGAGAGAGCGGCTTGAGAAAGAAAGAATAGAACGAGAACAAGCTCTAGAGAGGGAAAGGTTGGAGAGAGAGAGGCTTGAGAAAGAAAGACTAGAACGAGAACAAGCTCTTGAGAGGGAAAGGTTGGAGAGAGAGAGATTTGAGAAAGAAAGACTAGAACGAGAACAAGCTCTTGAGAGGGAAAGGTTGGAGAGAGAGAGATTTGAGAAAGAAAGACTAGAACGAGAACAAGCTCTTGAGAGGGAAAGGCTGGAGAGAGAGAGGCTTGAGAAAGAAAGACAACAAGCTCTAGAGAGGGAGAGATTGGAAAAAGAGCGACTTGAGAAGGACAGACAAGAACAAGCTTTAGAAAGGGAGCGATTGGAAAAAGAACGGTTTGAGAAGGAAAGGCAGGAACGAGAGAAGCAAGAAAAAGAACAAGCTCTAGAGAGGGAGAGGCAGGAGAAAGAAAGGCTAGAAAGAGAGCAAGCTTTGGAGAGCGAGAGACTAGAAAGAGAAGCTGCAATGGAGAAAGAGAGACAAGAAATGGAAAGGGCCAAAGAACAGCAAAGACTGGAGAAAGAGAGGGCTGAAAAAGAAAGACATGAAAGAGAAGCCGCCAAGAGGCAAGAGCGAGAAAGGCATGAGAAAGAGAAAGCTTTGGAAGAGGAACGATTGCAGAAAGAACAAGCTCTTGAGCGTGAGAGAGAAGCACAGAGGAAAGCAGAGGAGGAACGAGAGCGAACTTTGGAAAAAGAGAAAGAGGAGCAGGAGAGGGCTTTAAAAGAAGAGCAGCAGAGAGCCTTGGAGGAAAGGGAAAGACTTTTGGAGCAAAAAAGAGTGCAGGAGGAAAAAGAAAAGGCTTTGAAACTTGAAAAAGAGGAGGAACATGAGAAAAAAAGAGAAAGCCGTCTTCCTCCGTGGAAGCGTGGTCGTGATATCGGTGGTCTCTCCTATCCAGCGGCCCATCCTGCTTCTCTGGAGAGTCCAACGGAGAAGTCAGACGAGAGCGAGACTGGTGAACCTCAGAGCACTGGCAAAGATGCTCGATCTACAGAGCCTGTCCTACAACAGTCACCCACACTTGCAACACCACTATCCGCTCAATCTTCTTCAAAGAAGTCCCGCTTCCTCAGACATGCTCCTGTGACAACTCCTCTCCCTTCCTCTCCGACTTCTGTGCTGAAGAGACCTCGTACTTTCTCAGACAGCCCCATGCCACAAGCCCCCTCAATTCCATTAGCATCTAAGCCTGAGGAAAAAGATGCCTCTCAGGCTCCTCAAACATCAGTCATTGCTTCAGCCTCCAATGAGCTTGAGAGCAAGACCCCCGAGGTGCCTGCCAAACAACATGCACCACAAGAGGAAGAGAAGATGAAGATGTCAGAGGATAGTGAGGCAAGCAAAGACACTAAACATAAGACACTCAGAAGAGTGGAGGATGAGGAGAAACCTCTTTCAGAGGAGAAGAAAAGAGGAAGAGAAAGAGAAAAGAAGCAGGTGGAGAAGAAAGAAAGAAAATCATCATCCTCCAGCGACTCCTCCTCATCCAACTCGGATTCTGGGTCTTCATCCTCCTCACGCTCCTCCAGTTCATCATCGGAGGAGGAGGAGAAAAGTCATTCCACTTCAGGTGGTAGGAAGGTGAGTAGTTCAAAAGTTAATCTTTTTGTCAGGCTAACTCACTCTTGCTCTCTTTAACCCTTTCGCACGTGAGTTTAAAATATTCTAGCTGAGCCCCCAGCGTGAGTTTTTTTAGGCGACCGTTATTTTAAAATGTATCGCCTTATTGTTTCCATGGCGACGCGTCATGCTTGTCATGTGACACAACGCAGCCACAATAGATCTGTGTGACACATGGATCGCTTTTATTTCGTTTTTCCTGTTTTATTCAAAATATTCACAAACATGCTCACTATATTATGAAATATCTGATATTCCGATTCTGAAATATGTGCAATTAAATCTATTTGGTAGTTTAAACACTTTTATATCGACCGTGTTAGTTGATCTATACCGGGTGATGGGCGCCGCCATGTTAGTTCGCACTGAATCCGAGCTGTGGGATTTACAACACGCAAATTCATCCTCTCCTCCCAAAACACGTTAAATTAGGTCTCCGGTAAACTGGGAGAAGAGCAGAGTAAACTTTATAGTTACCTACACAATCTGTATATGATATCAATAAAAACATGTCGTCAGATTATATTTGTAAGGATCATTATTGCCGTTTCCATAGACATCAGCGTGCATTTTACAAACTGTAAATGTATGGTTTTGCTAGTACTTATGTGTATTTAAACGTCTGAAACCTAAAATAAGTAGTATATGGTTGAAAACAATGAATATTTGTGATAATATGACAAGCGTTTAGC